AGCGAAGGTAAGAGAGTAGGGGAAATCAGTTGAAAGAAGAGAATAATACCATTGGCTGGGAGAGTAAATAAAATAGCATCGAAGCATGAAGATTGGAAATAAGCAGGAAAAAGGAAAGGATTCTAGTTGCCAAACAAGAGCGTCCAGTTGATGCTCAAACCCCATACAGTAGATTCCTTTACAATATGTTCTGGAAGCAGCTTCCAGCGCTTGATGACTTGACGTAAAAACTGTGCCTCCGCGCCATCTCAATCCGACCGCGGTTTGTCCAGCTTCATACAATGCCCGCGGAGACCGGCTAAATTAGCAGGACTGAATAGCCAGGATAAACCAGGACAAACCTTCTCACACAAAGTACGGTAGGGTAGGATTAGGTCCCCTCCAATTCTTCGATAGTGCATTGACTACATCTCCAAACTAAGTAGGCGTTCGGGGTACGTTTGCCTCGTAATCCCTTGCCGAGCCTAGTACCGACACGCAACATCCTTTCTAGTGCCAGTTTGTCCCCGAATAGCCATGGTGGACAGGCCTGGACGCAATATTCTTGGTGTGGTCGTACAAACGCTGAGAAAAGCTTCACAAACGCGTCAGAGGTTAGGGTCCCAAATGAACGATGGATAAACCACAACATCCGGAAACCTTAACTAGCCGCCTTCTTCCAGTTGTCGCAAGCGTGTAGTGAGGAACCGTGGAAAACACTTAGATCAATCTGTTGGGTCACGTGAGGAAGTTCACTCACATCGAGCACATAACTTGTGAGGAGGAAGCAGACGCTCCGATAACGCAGCACTGAACGCTGCCCTGTTTATGGGCACAACCACAATACAGACCATTCCCAAAGGTCCTATCCCCAAGCCCGTTGAAGAGCCACACACAGACCTCTCAGGGATATCAACAATAATTCCAGAGCTTTAGGACATCAGCAAATAAGAGCGATGGTACATCAAGCCCCTCCGGCAAGTCATTCACGTAGACAGAAAAAGCCACGGACCTAGGACAAAGCACTGCGTAACGCCGCTAAGTACAGCTTATATATGTCGAAACAAAAGACTACTTCCCACACGAATACACTGTTCCTGTCCATCCAGAAAGCTGACACCCACTGGAGAGCGCGACCAGATATTCCATACGACCTCAACTTCAGTGAGAGTCGCGAATGGGGACAATGTCAAGGGCCTTGGCGAAGTCAATGAACATTGCATCCGCCGCATGTCTACTGTCTACGGCTTCCGCCCAGCTGTCACGAGCTACCAGCAAGTTTGTCTGTCGCGAAAATCCATTGCGAAAGCCATGTTGCTCGACGCTAAGTAGGTTAAACTTATTTAAATGGTTCTCCACTATATCTCGTACTAATTTTTCAAGTAACTTAACGACCACGCTAGTCACGCTGACAGGCCTGTGATTGGCCGGTAAGTCTTTGTTACCACGCTTTAAATTCGGGTAGACAACAGTCTCCTTCCATTCGGTATGCGTGATCCAAGAAAAGGCTTTGCGTGTAGTTTCTGGTTTGGTCTAGGTATTACGATGGCAAACGTATCCTGAACACCTACTTAGTTTGTTGATGCAGTCAATGCACTTTTGAAGGATTGGAGGGGACCTAATCCTAACCTACCGTATTTTGACTGGGAGGCTTGGCCGTGATTTTTTAATGCTATTTAGTCCTGCTGGTTGATCTGGTCTCCGCGGGCATTGTATGAAGCCGGACAAACCGCGGTCAGGTCGAGTTAGAGGGGAGACACGGTTTTCACGGAGCTGGTACCTGCTTCCAGGACAGGTTGTCAAGAAATCTACGTTCAAGGGGTTTGAGCATCAACTGGACGCCCTTGGGTGGCAACACGAAACCTTGCCATTTTGCTGATTAATTCCCGTCTTCAAACTTCGATTCTATTTTTTTACTTATTCTTGCCATTAATATTATTCTCTTCTTTTAACTGATTTCCCCTACTCTCTTACCTTCGCTTTTTCTTCCTCTCCTACTTTGTAATACCGGAAAACGCGCTCTTGCAGTATTTTGTAACATTGGATTTTACGGTAGTTTTAACCGTCGAAACATCCACTTGCGTTACTGACTGCTCGTCCGTTAACACAAGCTGTTTTGTTGAGTACCACGCTGCACGTTTCTCGCTCTGTCTGATTCGCTTCCTATTCTGGTAGCCTGCACAATATAAATAAATAAATAAATAAATAAATAGTATATTCTCTGTAAAACGAGACACACCTCTAAAAGGCATGATCAAATATGCATACAAGCACAGCTTCTTTGGAATATTAAAACATTTCGTTACAATGAAAGGAATAAACGAAAAGATGTAGTCCATAAGAGCGAGCATATTGTCAGGTAATAGTCAGACCAAGGATCATAATGGCGCCGTGGCGCGCAAAAACTGTTGCGTCAAGATACAAGTGGGGGGTAAATTTGACATGTAGTGATCCATGAGCACAGGAGCCCGAACAAGGTTTAGTGCAATCAATGACCATTACGAAGCCGGGATGATCGGTACTCCACTAAAGCATTCTTCATAGTAAAATCAGTTGCACAGGTTCGATGTTGGAGGCTGAGGACTGCGTCAGTGTGAAATGTATAGCAGTGACTTTATTTTGTGGCGAGTCACATCCGCCACGTTGCAGTGTTGTTAAGCGGACATTTGTGGCTTTTTATAGGGAGAACGCTTGCCAGGCGAAAACCCACCACGTCCTGGAACACTGTCGTAGCTTCCGTTGAACTGTAGTGCTAGTCGGCTATACGATGTATAGCCCGATTTTGCACTCTATTATTCGCAGTCGGTTGACAGCCAAAATTTTTCGTTGGTTGGCCAAATGGCTTAGTACTGAACCGGCAATAGTCGTTGAAGCCAGTCAATGATGTAAAAGAGTCGCAGAGTCGAATGATAATGATGCGGGTGAGTAAACATATTGTTAATAGAGGCCGGCTTTTTCTATTATATTGTCCGACTCGCAACCCGTGTCCAGCTATCCATGCTGGACTTGTCATAGGGACGGTGAGTGCAGTTGTTTCTTGTGTCTGAATATGTCCAAAACAGGAATAAATGCTATTCTCCGCGAAGTGGACAAGTATTTCCTTCAAATGTAAGTGTAATTGTCTCCATAACCAAGTGAGAGCTCCAGGAAAAATCATCGGAAAAGCCGCTTATGCGCGCGCAGTGCTGTCCGTGAAATGACATCAGAAAAGCTCCAGGTGACTGGAGAATCGGAATGTTTGAGGAAGTGAATGTAATCACGCCAGAATTGTCAGTCTTCGGTTGTGGAACAGTGGATCCATGTAACTACATTATTTCAGGTGAGTAAATTGTTCTACTGTGAGTACGAGGCGAGCTAAACCCATTTGTTTAGACCCCGTGGTGGTAGCTTCTCCAGAATGGCGGAAAGAGCTCCATTTGGAACGATGTGTGGGTTCTTCATCTCCCGGAGAAAAGAACAAGCATGTAAACCAACTGGCTATTGAAAGTGGGTCGACTATTCCCAGTGGATAAACCTTCTTGTTTTGGCGGATGTATCTGTGGAAATCTCGAGAGAAAACGGGCAACGGACAAGAGGCAGCCAAACAGAAAGACAGCAACGAAGCAAGAAGCACAAACACAGACTGGTGGCGCGCAACGGTGCCTATGATACATTAAAATTTATGTAATTTTGTTTAGTATACATGATTTGCAAGCGCGTTCTTTACATCACGTCGCTGGTGTGCCTCAAACTACAACTACTAGGTAGGAAGAAGGGTAGAACAAAGCGTGTAGACAACGTTAAGCGATTAATATGATTATTGGAGAGTAACAAGTAAACCGATGATGATGACAGCAGACCGAATGCGAGCGGCATCTTAGGTGAAACTAAGGACAACAAGGTTGAGACCGAATGCGGGAGCAACATAGGTAAAGCAACGTTCCAAGAAGAAAAGGAAATTTAAGGAATCAGCTATGAGCGGAAGAATGCGGACGGCAGTGCGAAGAGTAACTCATGAGAGCAATTAAGAGACGATAGTCAGGATGAAAAAGGTTTACTACTAAAGTGTGGTGAGCCAAGGACGCTCTCGTGCGAAGTATGAAACGTTCAGTGCTGAAATAGCACCGGTAATATCCCGGTAATCTGAGAGAACTCTAAAAGCCGGAGACCAAACAGACGAGACTCGAGAAGTCGACACATCCGGAGGCCTCGTAGTAGTCCCAGAGAATTACACTGATCAGATGATGACAAAGAAGGGCATGGCACTAAGCGTAGGTCATCCGATTGAAGATGTGAGAGTACAGGTTACTGATGGAAGTGCCTATATTAATAAAGGGTAAACATGTTTAGAGGGTTGCCTATTCCGGGAGCCCAGAGAGCGATTCCAGAAGACAGATCGAGTTGCAGGGAAACTTTTATTGGTTCAGCAAAAGATTCCCTGTTAGCTAGCCATAAATGAACGACACCGTGGACGCTCTAGCTAGGGGAACGGATCAAGCACAGCACACAGAGCAGTCGCGCGTTGCAACCGAAGCGAGCGCCAAGCAAAAATGGCGATGAGCAAGTAAAGCATTCAAACTCAGCAAGCAGTTCAACAAACCACACCGGTTGCCTAAGTGTAAAATTTAAGAATTTTGGTTAGAATTTTACACAGGCAAACCGGGGAATTTCCAGACTGCTACACAAGTCTAGCGGGCTGTCAATGTAAGCAAGACATAGTTGTGAGTCTAGAGAGATTAGATGGGTATATATTGCTAGTCTAGAAAAAATCAAAGGAGCATACCGGTCAGATGAGACTAGGTTATTACAAGGCACTAAGAGTTGGCAGTCCGATTAGAGAAGAAATGATAGTAGAGGGGCCATGAGAGGAGACGGTCCGGATAGAGAGAGGTTTACTTATAAGGTGTGGAAAAGTCCACGGGGCTCGAGAGGTAATGGGCACGGAGCGTTCAGTCTTCCAGGCATAGCAGGCAGCGTCGCAGAAGTAGGAGAGAAGAAGACCGAGCTGCCGAGGTTGGACTTGGTCGGCGCATTGTGATTGAGTCATTGGATCATTGGATCATTGGATAATAGAGAGCAGAAGGAAGTTCCTTTGTCAGCTCCGTCACTTCCCGATCGTTTCGGAGATAGCCTGCGTCATTGCGGAACAAGGTCCCACAGAGAAGCGCTGAAGCTGCATTGGAAACAGCTGGATCCCCGTAAACTAAAGTGAGAGTCCAATAAATGCTTGAAACGTTCCTCGGTCTCGGCAACGACGATGGACTCCGGAAGGCGGTTCCAGTCATTCACAACGCGAGTGGATAAAGCCAGGCTGGATCGCACTCGATCACTTCTCGGTTTGAACAGTTTCAAACTGTGGCCCCTTGTTGAACTCTCTGTGTTGAGATGAAAGAATTCCTGTAATTCCCTCCCCAACTCTCCTCTAAGAATACGTCGGGTGAAGATCAAATCTCCGCGATGACGACGGTAATCCAGGGAAAAGAGGTTCAGTTGTTTGAGTCGGAGAGAATAGGACAGGTCCCGCAGCTCAGCAACAGATTTGGATCCACGCCGTTGAACCTTTTCAATCATATCACATTCGAATTTCGTAAGAGGGTAGGCGGCAGGTAGCCCGTATTCCAGAAGCGGGCGTACATGTGAAGTAAACAGGAGTCGGAAGATCCCCGGGGTCAGGCGAGAGAAAGCTCTGCGTATAGAGTGAAACATCCTGTAGGCCGCAGCGACCTTTTTCTTGGTATCTTCATTAGATTTGAGGTCAGACGAAAGTACAACTCCCAAATCCCTCTCCTGAGTGGCGTTTCTGAGCAAGGAACCACCAATATGGTAGATTCCAAATGGGACAGACGCACCAACTGGGAGAACTGAACACTTCTCATGATTCATTGGCAACTGCCACTTAATTGACCAATCATGTAGCAGGTCAAGTGTCGATTGCAACCTGTCAGCATCTTCCATACTGGATACCTCCATCCACAGCTTCAAGTCGTCGGCGTAGATTAGGCAATCCGCCTGGAGTGTTGACGGTAAGTCATTGATGAAGATGTTGAAAAGCACAGGGCCGAGGACCGAACCTTGTGGGACTCCACTAGTCATGAGAACAGGGGCGGAAAATGTATCGTTTACTTGCACCTGCATCGTACGGTCGCGAAGGAAATCAGAGATCCAGGAGAGAAGATTCCCGGCAATACCGATTCCTCGGAGTTTAAACAAAAGTCGTTCGTGCGGGACCCTGTCGAAAGCTTTGCTGAAATCCACAAACACAACATCCAAGCGTTTGCCGGAATCTAGCGATTTCGCCCATTTCTCCTTAGCAACTAGTAAGTTCGAGGTACATGAGCGTGCCCTTCGAAAACCATGCTGTGCACAAGAGAAGAGATTCAGTTCCTCGAGGTAGAGATGAAGAGTCTGCTTCAAGATCCGCTCCATAACTTTACATAATATCGACGTTAAGCAGATAGGACGATAGTTGGCTGGATCTTGCCTGTTCCCTCCTTTGTAAATGGGTTTTACAATGCCCACTTTCCAAGCCGACGGGAGACGCCCAGCTTCAAAAGAAAGACGGAAAACCTGACAGATAGGAGGGGCGATGTATTGCGCCACAATCCTAAGGAACAGGGGGTGCAAGCCATCCGGGCCGGGTGAAGAATGCGGATCTAAATCAAGGAGAAGTTTAACCACAGAATTGAAGTTAATGTCTACTTGATCCAACTCATAAGGAAAACTGGACACAGTGTTGTTCCAGGCGGGAGTTTCTTTCGTGAAGACAGAGGCGTACTGCTGGGCCAAAAGACTGGCTTTATCAGCGTCTTCGTAAAGTAAATTTCGATGTTCAAGGGAACACAAGGTGGGGATGCCACTGCCAGCCCTGGTACTTCTTTTTAAATAAGAGAAAAGCATTTTGGGTGTCGTTCGGGAATGTGCTGCTAATGATAGTTCAAATTGCTGACGTTTCTGTCGCTTCAACGCGACACAAGCATTTCTGGTGGTCTTGTAGGAAGAGTAATCGAACTCTGTTTGAGATTGCCTAAAACGATCCCACAATTTGCGTCTTCTGTTTATCAGAGATCTCAATTCACTGTCAATCCAAGGTGGACCCCTCTTGAAGCACTTTCTACGGGAGAAAGGAACGACCTGCTCAATTAGAGAAGTCAGTTTGGAGAGCACAAGGTTCCACGCATCATCAAGGGGAATAGGATCAGGAATACTCCAGTCCATAGCGCTTGCGGCTGTTCTCAGACGGAGAGGATCCGCTTGCCAAAAGTTCCGACGACAACCACCTTGGCTATGGATCGTGAGGCGACGTGTCCATTGGAATGAAACGACACAATGATCACTTTTGCCGATGGGTTGAAGAACTGTTAAGTTCGTGACATCTGACTGAGCTGGGGTGAGCACAAGGTCCAGAATGTTTGGCGTTTGGTCGGCAACAATGCGGGTTGGCATGGTGACGTGTTGAAACAAATTACAACCGATAACAGTCTCAAGTAAGGTAGCATCAAAAGAATCAGGTGGACGACCACAAAGAAGTAGGTCCCAGTCGATATTAGGGGCATTAAAATCCCCCACGATAAGACTGTCCTTTCCCGCGCAGTGCTTCCTGATCGAATCGAGCAACTGAACTCCGGATCCCGATGGCGCTCTGTAAACAACACCAATAGTGTAGGATCTGCATCCATCATGAATACGGCCCCACAGGGCATCAAAATCACCCTCGGCGCCACTAGTAGCTGCAACCAAATGGGCCTTGAGTTCGGCCTTCCAGTAAAGTATAACGCCGCCACCGGGCCTACCTCCAAGGCGGTCGGCTCGACAAAGACTGTATCCGGGGATAGAAACCTCTGAATCTATGATGTCTGCAAAAAGCCAAGTTTCGGTAAAGGCCATCAAGTCGGGGCGAGTATCTGACGCAAGCATCTGTACCTCATCAAGTTTATTTCTCAGACTGCGTACATTGGCAACAATTACACGCAGTCCATTCTCGCGCTTTACTGTCCTGGGTTGAGGAGTATTGGCCTCCACCGGGTTCTAGGGGTTCTCCGGATTACACGAAAAGTCCTTATGGTTCATTCTTGGGAAGGTACAGTGGAGCTTCAGTTATGAATCGGACTGGTCAGAGATAGAAGTGGTTATATCAACATAGGGCGAACAAGTTCAGCAGGATATCAAGGTGAGGGAGGAAGTGCTTTGGATCGACGGAGCCTAGACCGCTAACATCCCGGTAGCCTGGTAGCAGTCCCATAGAATTTGGCTGATCAGCTGAGGCTGAGTGACGGATGACAGAGACTCAATCGTCCGATTGAAGAATGATTGGATACGAACGGCGCTCAGTCATCTGAACGATGGCTAGTAATGTCACAGGAGTCTGAGAGAAGTTGGAAAGCAGGAGACCAAACAGACGAGACAGGATTAGTCGGCGAAAGGACATGAGTCCCAACAAGCTAATTTTAGGGAGGGCAGGATGGAAGTGGTCGAGAGGTGGAGGTGGACTATATAAATAGAGGGTGAACAAGTCTAGCCAGGCCTGTCAACGTAAGTGCGATATAGCTTGAGGTCTACAGAGTCTAGGACCGTTTAAATGTTGCTGGTCTGGAAAGGGTCAAAGAAGCAGACCGGTCAGATGAGACTAGGTTATTACAGGGCACAGAGTTGCAGTCGATTAGAGAAGGTTTTGAAAGTAGAGAACGTCATCAGGAGACGGTCGGATAGGGAGAGGTTTACTTATAAGGTGTGGAAAAGTCATGGGGCTCGAGAGGTAATGGGGACAGAGCGGTTCGCACTTCTCATTCAATGCCGGTAACGTTCACAAGCAGTCTGAATGCATTACGGACGAGCAGGGGATCGCGTATCAGACGAGACTTGGTATTTAGCTCACCCGCGCATTACACCTATAAGAGTAAGTAGGTACAGTTGAGTGTGGGGACAGGTAAATAATGAGTCAGCGAGACGGATGGGTTGGGATGCAAGAGGCTACATGAATATAAGGTATGCAAGTCAGGCAGGCTCGCAAATTGAGAGAAGTTGTGTGATGGTGATACAGAGCCTAAAACTACATTTCGCTAGTTAGGAAGCAGTCAAAGAGGCTAAATAGGGCAGGGCTCTGAGAGCTCGCTATGCGGATGAAGAAGAAAATAAAGAACAGGCCGCGATAAGGAGAGGACAGGGTGGTACGCGACCCGGACCCAAAGAGAAATAAAGATGAATAATGATGATCAAAAATGACAAGGACTCACAGAAGGGTTGCGACGTGGGTTAGAAGTCCAACCACATGATTTGTCCATGCTTTTTAGTCCTGCTAGATTATCTGGTCTCCGCGGGCATTGTATGAAGCTGGACAAGCCGCGGTCCGATCGAGTTAGAGCGGAGACACGCTTATCGCGTCGAGTCATCGAGCGCTGGAACCTGCTTCCTGAAAATGTTGTCAAGGAAGCTACGGTTAAGGGGTTTGAGCGTCAACTAGATGCTCTTGGGTGGCAACACGAAACCTTTCCGTTTCCTGACAAATTCCCATCTTCATACTTCGATTCTATTTTCTTTGCTTTTCCTCGTCATTGGTATTATTCTCTTCTTTTAACTGATTTCCCCTACTCCCTTACCTTCGATTCTCCTTCCTCTCTTACTTACTTCACGTAACTGACACAGCTGGGACAGCTAATGTTAGGAACGTGGGCATTCAATTGGTGGACCAGGGTGTTTTTCGGGTGTTTTCCTTTTAGACCCATCAAGAAGTCGGAGCACCTCTATCAACTCCTGGATCGACGACCCGCTCAAGAAGGAACACTTACGGGATTCATCCTATCGTTCCAGTCCCACTTGAACTTGAACTTGAACATGTTTACAAGTATCGTGCAAAAAATTTAACTTTTGTGAAATTTCGCTTGATCCAAAGTATTTTGGATCATTTTTCTCCCCGGAATATGTCGTACCCGTTTTCGGATACTTACCAAACGTGGTCCATCTTTTTCGGATTCGGCCTCTGGCTATTTTTCCGGTATTTCTCTGTTTTGTAATCCGTTTGCACCTTGTTTTAGTCCGTATCTGTTTCTATTCACTGCTCTGCAGGTAACAGCTTGTCGGGTTTACGTTTTGAAACTTGTTTAATACTATTTGAAAGTATGATGTCGGATTCACTGAATTAAGCCTCATCCTCAATCACTATTGGGTGCACCTCCTCTGCATAGTTTACAGTTGTAGTGGTATATCGAAGGCCTGGAAATATCTCCAGGGAGGTTATTGAATTTACTCGTACTCAGGCTGCCAATAGGTGTCTAATACTGGGTGTCTTCAACCCTGAAGTCTGCTGGGCGGATCTACGTAGCGGTTCGGCGGTGAGCACTTTCGGTTTGGATCTCCTCGAGCTAACATTGCAACTGCCTTTACACCAGTTCATTTACCTCCCGATTAGATATGTGCGCAACCAAATTCCGTCTACCTTGGATCTCATTTTTGCGAAGTCACACGATTTCCTAAGTGCTATTACGTACGGCTGTCTTCTAGGAGCCAGTGACTATGTTTGCATATCGTTTTGATGTGCTCTAACTAAATGTCATCAAGCTACCGCTGAGGCATGTTCAAATATCTGGCTGGCAAAAAACTGTTCTGCGTTGCGCGATCACCGTAGCTGACACTGTTGTGACAGCTTGGGAGAAATTTAAGGCATACCTCACCGAGATCTCTGCTCCTCACATCCCACTCATTAAGAAATGGGTGACAGGGGTGCAGAATCCGATAGATCATACAGGTAGATACCTGCTCAGGAAGCGCTCTAAGTACTGTCGAACTTACTTTAGCGCCCAAAAAGATAACTCCTTCTGATAACCGCGCTTACTTCGCGCACCGTCTCGGACTAGTATTAACTAGTCCTACATTACCAAGCGGCTTCATCACCCAGCACCTACGAAAGTTCTCGAGCGGTTGGCAATAAACGTAAGCAACATCTTAGGACTCTTCGTCTTCAGTACGAAGAGGATTTGGCTGATGCAGCCATAACAAATCGAAAGTTCTTTGCTTACGTAAAGAGACGCAGCGGTACAAATTCGTCTATACTGGTTTTGCTACGGGCGGACGGGACCCCTTGGCATACCGACTATGGTAATGCATATATACTTAATAGTATACTGGTATCTTTTCTTATAAGGCCTGTCTACCTCAGGTTGAGCTAGTCACAAAAGTCCCGGAGGATTCTTGCCTAACTGAAATCAGCATAACGGAGACACAAGTGTTCGGCTATTGCAAGGGCTGAATCCTTTCAAGACTTCTGGCCCTGATTCAATTCATCCGAAGCTGATGCATGAATTGGCCGGTGAGCTAAGTGACTCTCTCACATGCGTCTTTACAATATCGCTAGACAGCTGTGCCACCTTCGGAATGGGAGGAGGCAATCATCTGTCCGATTTTTAACGGCGGTGACAGTGTTCTGCCCGCGAACTAGCGGATTGTCAACTTGACAAGCGTATTGGTTAAGTTGTCTGAAAAATTGGTCAGGGATTCGGTGGAGAATCGCCTGATTAAGTTTAACCTCAGTGCGGCACAGCACGGATTCCGTAAGGGGTTTTCGTGTCTGACGAATTTACTTGTAGCTCGTGAAAGCTGGACTAAGGCAGTGGACAACGGTCACGCTATCGATGTGGTTTTCGTTGACTTCTTGAAAGCCATTGATACTGTCCTACGTCAACGACTCATTGAAGTTAAGATCGTATGGGATATCTGGAGCAGCGCTTAGATGGGTCTCTGC